ATTGGTTTGAAATTGGTTCTGGGTAGGCACAAAAGTAATTGTCAAAACTAAGCGAAAGTTGGAAAAACTTCAAAAGGAAAGTCCCTCGAGAATAGATACATTTTTACAGAAAATGCCAAGAAAATGAATATGCCAAAAGTTTATGGTACAAGTTTTTTTTTTTACTTTTAAGTTGACAAACATTTAATATATTAACCAGAAAATTGAAAAGTTACACAAAGCGTTTGGTGTGTCAAAGAAAATTTTATAAAATTTATATTTTTGGCAAGAAAATGAAAACTATTGAATTACTATACGAATTTGTTCTGTCATCGCTTTTGGTATATAAACTAATTAAGAAAATTAACTTTAAATATGATTATAAAATCCAAATTAAATCAGTTGCCTACAGTGAACCCTGACTTTTGTGTTTTGTCGTTTACCGGCCGGAGTTCAACGGAAGTGCAGTGAACTTTTATTCAGTTATTGTGGCGGAACTTTATTTGCGTTATCAGTTGGCAGCAGCTGCCACACCATTTCATGGCCCCTTTCTATTGTGCCCACGAGGCCCACTGTGCACGGTGGGGTTAGGGGAAAAAGGGGTAAGCGGGCGCACAAATGTCATTTGCCTTGCGCTGGCTGCTTTGTTTACGTGCCGCTGCTGCTGCTTCTTCGTCGTCGCTTCCGTTTGATTTGGCAGCTTTATGATTTTAAGGGGGGGAGGGGGGCAGAAGGGGTCCCAAAGGATTTTCACGCCTCCCAAAACAAAAGAAGTACTCTTCTTTGGCACTCGAAAGCAAAATACTCAAAAGCCAGAGGCATGCCCGGGATTTCCTCAAGGGGGTGTTCATCTAAAGAAGGAATAGGTCTTAAATGGAAATAAGATTTTAAATAAATTTAAATAAAGTGTTAAAAGGGGGTTAAAATCCCCGCGCCATCTTCGCACGCCTCTGTGATAAACAACACCAACTGTTGGACGAACCGTGGAATCCCACTCACTCTGTGCTCATTTCGTTTTAATTGCGTCAAATTGTTGAGTTCTCTTCGTCTCTCTCCTTAGAATTCCCTGCCACGCCCCCTCCACAGAAGACACCCTCCGCTCCACCCGCCCATGTCCATGCCGCATCGTTGTTGCCTTTTATTTTTTTTTTTTTTTTTTGTTTACTTTCGATGGCCGCAATGTGGCGAAAAATAAACACACACTCATGCACGGGCACACACGCGAAGAAAACTCTTACGCACATGGCATGAAAATTGTGGAAAAGTGAGACGCGGGAAAAAATATTCTCTTTCGATTGCCCAAAAACAAATGGGGAAGTGCAGCTGGATGGGTGGCAAGGGGTTGGGGTGACAAAAGGGGAAGTGCCGTGACAATGGCAAGATTATCTAGATGTCTTACAGTGGGAAGAATTACTGATAAGATCCCATAAAAAGATAATAATTTGTACTGTTTTTTATGTTAAAAATTCTACATTTCTTGAATATTTTTAAACTCCATTTTAAAAACTGTAGTTGCTCATATAAAAACACATTTTTTTAAGTGTCGAAATGAATTTTTTTGAATATTTACCCAAACATGCATAGACTTCTTGTCGGCTGCAACAATGCAGTGGGTTAACCCGCTCCTTCTATTGACGCTCTTAGCCATCCCAGCCCATTCCCAAAGCCATTCCCCAGCTTCCCCCCCATTCTATCCATCACATATCACCCAATTCCTTGGAGTACAAATAGTGAAATAGACCGGGAATTATGGAAATCCCTGGATGAGTGAACCTATTCATGATTTTTATTGTTGCTGCATGGCCAGAGATCCCTGGAGAAGGGGGAATTGTCATAGCCGTCGGAGACGAAGGAGACTGGGTCTCCAGGGAGGGAAATAAACCCATCAACAACAATGAAGTGTCGTCAACGATTCAGGAATTGCATCCATACAGAAGCATACACAAAGGAAAAAGATATAGTACTAAAGGCACAGATAAGTCCAAAAAAAAAAAACTTTAGATATATTGAAAATAAAATCTTTGTGTAAGAAACAAAACCATTAAAACATCAACAATACTCCAATTAGACGAAATTCAAACATGACACTCCCTCTCTGGAAACTCCCCTTCCTCCCTTCCATAAAAAAGAAATTTAAATACGCCCAATAAAAATGGTTAAATCACAATTGCTTTCAAATCGGTTGTAAAATTCGAACACTTCAATTTACTGGTCATAAAAACAAGAAGAACAAAAATGAAAAGTGCATAGATAGTACTCAGACGACCCATTTCCATTTCGTGTTTTACTTGTCTTTTGAAACATTTTTTTTCCATGTTCAATGCAACTCATAAAAAATCGACATATGAACATAAAATCTACAAAACTAAAGAACACATATGTTAAGATATAGAACAGACTATCGAAATCACTTTCAATTCTGCAGACTGGTCTTTAGTAGAATCATCAAAATTCCATAATTTTAATCGCCTCATAAGTTTGCCACATTTTCCATGTCAAACGTGATCTTTATCAGAACAAATTTGACCTGAATTTGAAAATCAAAATGTATCAATTTATGACAATAGGGAAATTTAGAACTCAACTATGTATTAACTTGTTAAACAGATTTTTAAAATGCTTTTATGTTTCTTCCTTAAGATAATACCAGAGCAAAAAAAGTGAAAGCTCTGGAAATTCTAGATCATATTCCTATCGCCTGTCACCGCTTACAATTCTATCTTTTGATCTATTATATCATTTCCACATTTTCCAAGTCATTCCAACTCTTTTTACGATTTCCAATGTTTTGTCGTTGATTTTATGGCCATTTAATGTGCTATAAAAGTGGACAATAAGGAGGGGAGTTTTCCCTTTTTTTGGGGGAGTACTTTGTCATCTGTTTGATTTGGTTGGGCTTGGAGTTTTTGGTTCCGATTTTGGATGTTTGGTGCATTGACATTGAACACCTTTCGATATTCTCAGGGCTCTCTGTGTGTTTGCATTCGGGGGAGTCAAATGAGCAGTCAAATCAATCGCTTCAGTTGTTGTTTTTGCTGTTGTAGCTGTCATTACTGTGTAAACAAATGACATCTGGTCATCCTCCCCCCCTTTTTCGTATCCCCCTTCCCATTACCATTCAGTTGGATGAGTGCACGCCTCTGTTTGCCTTTGGATCGGATAGGCAGCCAGCAATTGCAGATGCAACATCATATGTGCGTGCTTTTATATCTACAAAGGGGGCCAAAACAATAGCAGATCAAATGTTATGTGTTATCTTAATAGACAGGGTAAATAAATTTCAAAATATTCCTATATTTAAAGTGCCTTTGCAATCACTTTAATATATATTATAAATCAGAAGTCTATCTTGTTTCTCCGAACTTAGGGAATTTTCCTTGAAAACTCAATATCCCATTATATTAACCACATCTGTGCATCTTGTAGTCTAGTCTAGCATCAATGGACGATTGTCTGGCCCAGTAAATAGCCATAGCCATAGCCATAGATGCATCCACATCCACATCCACCAACTTCCACCAGCAGAAGCTGCATTCTGGCCAGCAACTTGGCCTTATCTACCAGATACAATCTGTGGCATTCCGCACAAGAAAATTAAGCAATGAAAAGGGGCCAGGCAGACCCAAGACCAACAACAATGCGGCACATCAGAAATATTTAATTAAATGCTTAATTACGCTTGCCATGCCATAAATTCATCAAATGCAATTTAAGACTGCGCACACGAACAGATGCAGATACTTTTCTTGTAGCTTCTTTGGTTCCTCACTTTAGCCATTCCATATCGGTATCTTGTTCTTGGCTTTTCATTCATTGGAAAACTTAACTGCAATTGCAATTGAGAGTTGGGCCATAATTTAACCCCTCTTATTCCTTTACTGACATAAATCCCAGCCCAGTCCTGGCGGCACTTTTAGATCATTAATCCATGGCAGATCAGCAGAAAAATAAAGAAAGGAGAACAGCATTCGCGGAACGGCATCTAAGAGACTTAAAAAAAGGGGGATTAACCTTCTATGGAGCCAATCTAGATCTGCTCTTTTGATAGGTCAAAGTTGAAACAGAAGCTAGCTTGGAAAATCTCTACTTGGTTTTTACTTTCATATAAGGTAGTTTTATGATTCTTGAAAATAGAATACAAATTCTGTGTATTCTTCTTTGAGATTGCGCAATCCATTCAATTACGTCTCAATTGATGGCAAATGCATCTGATCATCTGCTTATCTGATCAGCTCCAATTAGTAATGATATATACAACTATACATATACTATATATATCTATAAAGAAAGAAAGATCGAACTCCACTGATTTGGCAATTCAATTCGATTGCCATTCGGTGGCTGGGTAATCCATCAAACTGCCTACTGATCCCAATGAACCAATCGCTGGGAAATCAAGGGTCAGGTCACCAAGATCCATTGGCTCCATGGGGGGTTTTTTTTTTTGGGGTAGGGGCGTTGCAATTGACAAATTTCCAACGTTTGGAAAACGAAAACGAAATGCGAGCAATTACTTTCAATTGAAAATGTCAAACATTGTCTTGGCCCGCAAGCAGACACTGAGCGAAAAGTAGGATAATATTTGTAGTTGAATTCTTTCTTCAATTTAATAATAATTCACAGCTTTTTGTATTTTTATACTTCAAAATACATTTTAAAAATACGAAACTTAATATTTTACTTTATTTAAATTTTTAGCAGTGCCTTAGCCAGCCGATACTTGGATATAAGTATAAAAACAAATATACCGTCGGATATTTGTATACAAAATCTATATCTAAAGGCAAGCACTTGAGGGCCGTACGCAAGCACCTTGGGCGGAAATGCGATAACCCTGAGCGGGCGGGGTAAAGGCGGAAAGTCGGAAAAGCGGAAAATGGGAGCGCACATGTTGGCCGCCTTTAGAAGATTTTCAGTTTGCTTAGCTATCTGTTTGATAGGAAGTGGCTTCTATATTACGTTTGTGAGTGCTAAAGCTAAGAACTAGAAAATGGAAAATAGGGAAAAGTCCCATCACTTACCGGATAACATGGGCGCCAGGGCAGTGTCCGTCGGCGGATGACAATGGCCATTAAAGGAGTTGTTGTGCGTCTCCTGTTGCTGCTGCTGTTGTTGTTGCTGCTGCTGGTCCTGTTTGAGGGACGCTGATTTTCCGGGCACACAGCCCACAATAGGCTTCTTCGATTTCCACAGTTTCATTTTGAGTTCTTTTTTCTGGCACTTCCCGAACGGGAATTCGCGATCTTTACGATTTTTCAACACTCATGGTCAATTTTGTATTTTGCACAAACCAAAAAAATATATGAATGAAAATAAAACTAAAAAAAAAATATATATGCACTGTTCGAAATCGAATTTCAAAATTAATTTGCCTTCCAATAGAAATTGGGAAATTTAGCGACTGTGGCGGCGACTGCGATGCGACTGAACTTGAACGATGCGCGCACGTCCGCACAGCACGGCCCGAAATTGCACAATGAGCGATGATCTTGCCGTCAATACTGCTCGCTCTTGTATGCGCTTCTTACTCTCTCTCACACTCTCACCGCCACCAAGTACCACCCTCACACCACTCTCTCTCTCTCTCACCCGACCGGCTGACAGCAGGGCGCACGCTCTGCTCTCCAAGAATTTCTGGGCGCCACACTATGGCAGTAAACAAGTAGTCAATACCTAAAGGGCTACTATATAAGCAGTTATATTTAAATATTTTCTAAAAATTATAATAAAATGTATATATATTAAATATAAATACGAAATGCAATTTAAATATTTTTAATATCTTTATTATTAATTCCTCCCCATTGTTTTTATCCAAAAACATTAGCAGGTTTGCCCACAGTGCGTGACTCACACACACTCGAGTGGGGAAAAGGAAAAGGAAAGAGTGTGACGCGTAAGTGGAGTAATATTTAGGGAGTTTGGCGACTTGAGAGAGAAGTGTGCCCCTCTCGCTCTCGTTCTTTTGCATGAGAGTGGCCCATTGGGGAAGCACTCAAATCAAAATCAGAGCCCGCCACTCCAAAAGCACCGCTATGAGCCCACTGATGAGCCGCAGGCATGACAATCAGTTGCTTCTGTTAACCGTTAATCGGTGGCTTCGAATGGGGGAATGTTTAGCCTATGACCCCAACATAGCTAAACGACAAACGTAAAAAAAACCAAAAAAAAAATGCCCCCAAACGGGTGTCGCGAATTTGTTAATTAGTCACGAAAAGCGCGACGGCAACTGCTCGAAATGGTCAACAAAAACAGGACAAACCAAAAAAAAAACGAAATGAACCAAATTGGCAACACGCAACCAACGGAACATCTGCTAATGGCCACAAGACAACAGCTGGTGTTAGTCGAGCACTCTTTAGGTCCAAATAGATACCACTAAGCTGCATCCAGATGGTATAATCCTCAAAAGAAACCCATTAAAAAGTGGCTAAAATTAAAGGGTTTGTAAAGGCCAGCTAATATTATCCCTAAAACTTAATGAATATTATGGTAAGGTTGGATCGTATCAAAATCGTATATATCTTTAGTGTATTCCCAAACAATATTTAAGTTTTCCATTCTGTTATTTTTATCGAAATCGCTTTTTGTTGTTTAAAACTAGAATTTGTTTATGTATATATCGTGTCAATGTTGCGATCAATCAATTTTGGGCAAAGTAAATATTTCAGCGGATATTTACACCAGATGCCCCCAAAATTTGAACCCGAGGGCAATGACATGAATTTAATTTCCCTCTCGTACACCTATTAATATATATGTATGTATGTATGTAAATATTCATAAAATCCGCTTTAACTGCAAGTACAAATGTGGCCACCTTTTAGGTTAAAGCTGCGGATTTATGGGTGACTCGGTAAGGTCCCATTCTGCCAGGAAATATCCCAGCCCCTCTATATATGTATATATATAGATATATAGTATATATTTTATTTTTATGCGATTCCCTCTTCCGTGTTAAATGCCTTCTTCCTCTTTTTCCCTTATGTGGCGCGGGCGGGGGTTTAATGTCTTTAATGACCTCGACTAATGATCGAAGCTGATTGATTCAGCAGAATCGTCGAAGGCACTCTCCAAGTTTGTCTGCATTATTTTTAGATACCCTGCCATATATATCTCCCATCGCCCCCTCCACCGTCGAATTTGATTCCCAGTCCAAGGTGTCACTGTGGACGGAGAAAGCCGAGCGAAGAGAGGCTGATTGACGAGTGCCGAGAAAATCGGGGAAAACTAATGCGACACATGGGAAAATATATGTTGAGAGCAGTTTTACTACTTTTCGTTGCATACACTCAGGCTGATTGCAAATCAAAAATAAATACATGCTACAAAAAAATTACCATTTAATTTTGAAAAACAATTATTAAGAATTACTTAAATACAAACCACTGTGCCTGTACTACTTTTCTTTCTCTTCCTTTGTTCTTATTTACAGCACACCTAACCAATTAACGGTTATAGTAGTCCTCTCTCAAGAGAAGAGTTAACAGTTAAGAATATAGGAATAGGCATTGCAGCAAAAAAATTCCAGTGTGAATGGAATGAATATATTATCTCAGTTCAGTATCATTGGGGATCTCTTGGTGTTTCGACTTCGTCTTATCTCTGTGAAATGATTTCTTTTAGCTTAAGTACAGTGTTATTTAGTGTCTTAGTTTGCTGTATAATCCGTGTTCGATGTGAATTATCTGTCGAAGAAGTTAAAGGAAGTCCAAGTGCAGGCCAACCACTTTCTAGTTCCTGTCGCACTAGGTTAAATGGCAGTACCACCAGTCCCGATATCCAACTCCCATTTGTGGATATGGTGATGCAGCATGATTTGCCGATCTTTCTACTCCGCGAGCCGGAACAGGATTTGCTATTGTTGCTTAATGGACCAGAAATCCATAAATTGCACGTGGCCACCGGGGAGAGACGTTTAGTGCCCCTTGGACAATTATCGGGTCAAATTATGAGTCGCATTGCTCTCGGAGCAGAGATTGTGGCCTGGCGGGAGTTCCTACTTTTAGCCATCGTTCTGGAAGATTCCCTGGAGGTTTACCAACTGCCCAAGGAACTGTTACTATCTGAAGATCCCGCCCATCAACTAAGCTTCGAGCCCCTGCAGGAGTTTTCGGTGCCCGGAGGATTCCTGCAGCTTCATCTTCTAAAATCCAATGCCGATCAGGTGCTCCTGCTGGTGGCCTCCAATCATACCAGCTCACATAGCAAGTGCAGGTGAGATTTAAAAATATTGAAGTTGAAAAACAAATGGAAATTATTTTCCTTTTTTCAAAGAACATTTGAGTGGCTGGATACTTATTTTAATCCCCTCGAGGAGATTACCTTACCCGCCATTCGCGTTCTCCAAGTGGTGGGCCACCAGCCACTGTATATAATTTTCGGACGATCTTTAAAAGGCTCCCAGTCAAAGGTAAGATGATCGCATAGTCAATATTTTATACTACAAGTTACTACCTTAGCTGGTGCTCACTGTCTATGAGCTGGATAGGAACACACATACCCTGCAACAGCGCCAGGCTTTAACTGTCCAGGCCAAAAGTATCCAGGCTGCAAGATTTCGTGGCCGGAACTGCATCATTGCCTGTTCTTCTTCACCATCCACTTCCTGTATTTTCTTTCGAATGGTGGATGGGCAATTTGTAGTTTATCGAAAGCATGCTCGACGGGATTTGAGTTTCCATCGGTTGAGTGCCACCAAAAATGGTCAGCTCCTGATCGGAGCCCGTAGCAATGGCGAGGTGATCGTCTTTAGTTCAGCTCGTCTGGATTGCTATAGTGGATATCAGATGACTGAAGAATCGCCACCGAGTGGCTTACTTACCCATAGAAATGCTCGAAACGAAAGTTTTTTGCTGCTGGCCTATAAAAGATCGTCGAGCGATCTAATCCGAACTGTCCAGCTGGGAGGTGTGGAGGAAACCTCCAACCAAGTGGGCTCTGTTCCAGATGAAGGTCAGCGTAACATACCCTTGTAAAGCAAATTTTAACCTCTCTACATTACAGATCTTAGTGTGGTTCAGTTACATCGTCATGAATTCGAGGAGTCCATCAACTCCTTGCGTAGTCTTTTGCTACGTCGTCGCTCCTTATTTATAAAGCTGAAAAATGTTATTGACTCCTTGAAGAAAAGTTCTGGCATTCACATGGAGGAACCATTGCATCTCATGGAAAATGGACGTATCGATCGGCTTCAGTTGGTGGACGATGAGCTGCGTACTCCCACTCAACTAAAGCGGCGCCTGGATGAACTAAGTCAGCGAATTGGAGCAGCCCGAACCAAAAGAACCCCAGGGTCTTTTGGGACAGGAAATGGAAATGATGCGCCGGAGAAACTCAAAGTGCGACGATTACGAGTGGGTAACCTTATCTACCAGGGACAGTTAATGCCAGGTTAGTTAAAGAAAGTTAAAGATTGATATATTAATTACCAACTTCCACTTCTTATCTTTAGGGCACATTTTCGATAACTCAGAACCTCCTTTATTGACCATTCCTAGTGTGAGAACCAAAACACTGAACACAAAGGAACTACTTACACCTCAGGATTTTCACAACTCCAGTGAATCCCCGATTCCTACAGTAAAACTTAATGATAGTGAATGCCTGGTAAATCATCTACAAGTGGAGCGGATCAATGGAGTATCTTGGGAGGAGTTTGTGGACTCACTCTTTCTGCGCAATCGTGACACACAGTTAACGGGAAGAGTTGTCATGCAGTCCAGAGCCCGAGTGGACAAAGTACAGACGCCACTGCTCAACGGTCTTGTGGTGGATCGTCTCTTTAACCTGCGACGTGCCCAGGTGATCAGCTCTAATATCTACATGTCGGCATTTTTCGTTCCACGTCTGGATGCTCAGCTGGTGAATGGCTTGGACTTTGCCAATGATATTGTCCAAAGTGGAGGCAATGATACTTGGGTTAAGAGTAGGTCTCACTCTAGAGTTACTTTATGAATGGATTTAATGGAGTTATTGCGTTCCAGCTCCTGTCCGCATCAATCAAATGAGTGTTTCGGGTGACATTCAGGTGGATAATCAAAGCAAATGGCAGAAACAATTCAGACAGGATGAGGAACCTGAGGAGCAAGGTCTTCAGCAGTACTACACGGGCAGGGTCACTATCACGGGTTCCCTGACGGTCAGAAATCTAAAACGGGATACCGGAAAATCACGTATAGTTCTGGGAAACCAATCTCTAGCCAGAATTGATCTCCACTCTAAATACCTTCTGAATCAGACGGATCAGGTAAAGTCATGTCCTCCTCTGATTTAGCTTAATAACATAAATCTTCCCACAGAACCTTTCTAATTTAACCTTCGGACATGCCAAAGTCAGTACTCCCTCACTGACCACTAGTTACATTGAAGGACATCCTGTAAAGGAACACCTTCTCAGCGGAGGGCAGCAAAACAATCTCGCCTATCCAAATCGACCTTTACACATCATTTTCATGAATGCCACCGTACAAGGAGACATTATCTGCAGGGATTACAGATCACGTTTGGCGGAGATTGCAATGGATGCAGTGCGGCATGGACAGGAGGCCAATATTACGGGTCACAAAAGCTTCCTGGCACCAGTTACCGTGCAAGCCCTTCAAACCAATCAAATAAATGGAGTACCAGTAACCGAACTAGTGACAACATCAAACATTACCGACAACTTTAATGGGACAAAGAGCTTTGCCCGTGTGGTGGTGACGGGTGACCTAAAGGTTCATGATCACTTCAATGTGAGTCGTCTCAATGGATTGCCACTGCAGCAGCTTCTTGGACATGATGTTAGTCTGCAGCGCCTCGAGCTGACTGAAACTGTACATCTGGAGAATCTTAAGTTCAAGCGACTTAACGGATTGCCTTTCGATGAACTGCTGTCCCAGATCTCAGACGAAAATGGAGACCAACTACTACTCCACAAGCAACTCCTTATCGAGGGAAATGTAGGATTCGAAAAGAATCTTCAAGTGCAGACCATTAATGGAATCCAATGGGACGAATACAAAAGCCGCCTGGTGAGACCCGATGTCAATGCGGAGATTGGAGGTAGAAAGACCTTCATGGCGGATGTTCAAGTGAACGATGCTCTTCATACTCCTCACATAAATAATCTGGATCTTAGTTCCCTGCTGGATAACACCTTGCTGCGAATGACGCCGCAGCAGATCAGTGGTGTCTACCATTTTGACCGGATGACTGCCACCAATGTGGATGTGGATCGTATAAATGGGGTACCAAAAGAAGAGTTTTTAGATTCTCGAAAAGATTTGGAACTGACAGGAGATATCTACCTGAATCAGCTTAACATCAATGGCAGCATAACGTGTCCTTTTGCCAAAGAGCCACAATTCGCCGATCTTAAGCAACGAGTAGAGCAAGTGAAGCAACTTCCTTGGCAGAATTTAATAGTCACCGGAGATGCTCTGTGGGATGGTGAGGATCACTCTCAACGACAGCTTGATTACCTGCGCCAGCATGCTGTAAGGAGAGAAGGAAATCAAAGCATTACTGGTCATGTGGTCCTGAAAGAACCCTACTTGAAGAATCTCCAAAGCAAAGAGCCTCTGCCTATCGGACTCAACTTCACCTATTTAGCCAAAGATGCGTTACTCCGGCGAAGTCCCACTAATGAAACCCAGGTGATTACCGCTCCCCAAGAGCTATTGGGATCAGTTAAGGCTAAAACTGTTAATCTGGAAAAAGATGCACACTTTGGCTTGGTGAATGGAATCGATATAGCACGACTCAATGCCTCACTATACCGCCGCTCTAGTGGAGAACCCATTGCAGCAGATCTTCATTTTGTCCAGGCACCCAAGATAGGCAAACTTCATCTGGAGGATCCAGAAGTGAATGGAGCTCCGATTGAGAATATTTTCCAGCATGGCACAGGGCAACCATGGCCAACCGTAAAGTTCAATCAACTGCTTGTCGAAGAAGATCTGCAGCTGGGAACCGTTAACGGAATGAGCCTGGACTACTTCCTCCAGAACCGTATACCCCTGCAGGGACCCGCATTGGAGGTGTTCGGGTCTCTGACCTTTGAAAATCTTCATTTGGGTGGCCAATCTCGTCTTCGTTCCATTAATGGCATTCCGTTGGAGAACGTAGTTTTCCGTCATAGCAATCAGGCCCAAAGCTTGACGGGCGCAAAGACTTTCCATGGCGGCGTGCAGTTCACTGGACCCGGACATGTGATGAACCTTAATGGCCAAGACCTCAGCGAGAGTTATAGGGGCAGCATCTTCCGGAACAATGACTACAATATCGATAGTCTGGTTCTAGACAAGGCTGTTTTTCCAGGAGGTCTCGTTAAGGCGGGCAGTCAGAGCCAAGTACCCATTAGAATGCGAACTATGGAAAGCCAAGATAATCTCTCAGAGGAAGTACAAGGCTTGGTTAAACTAAGTAATCAAAGCATCCATAGAAGACTGATTTATCTGGATCATGAACCCGAAACCCTGGAATCTTCTTGGGTGAAACCTCCTTTAAAGGGATCTCCAGAGCGCCAGGTGAGCCTATCCTTGGGAGATTCTGCGCCCTGTGAGCGTCGTAGTATCCAGGCCCAACTTCTGATCCCTGAAAGGCGTGTGCTTCTGGCCAATGTGAGTGTTACCAATCAGCTAATGAGACTCAATTCCGGCCATGTCAGGGTTAAAGTGCAGAACCACTGCCATCGTCCAGTCAGGAGATTGCGCAGCAGGATCAGCATAAGTTGCCGCAATGAATCACATGTGCTTGGGATGAGTGATCCAGTGGAGGCCATGGAACTGATAGAAATGGATGAGATGGTGCTACTGCTCTTGGGCACCGAAGAGGAAGTTCGTGTCTTGCGACTGATGCGAAAGAACTGCAGTCTTACCGATTGGCAATCCTTGCTGCCAGCAGATGGACGCCTTATGAAGTTGATTCGAATGGAAAGAGGATCCCAAGAGGATCTTCTTTTCACCAGTGGAATGAACAAACATCTTCCAGCCCTAGCAGTCCATTCAAGGGATACTTCAAGCCATAACTTCAAATTGCTCCAGTTGATCCAGGGTTCTTATGATCTGGCTGAGATGCAAGAAAACCAACTACTAGTCAGCTGTCTGGGTTGCCGGCATATAGCAATCTTCAATCGAAACTCCTCATCCCACTTTGAGCCCATCCAGAAGTTAAGTTTCCAGGAGCGCATTCAACAGCTAACCCCGTTTAAAGTTGGAGAAGAACAGCTTCTTCTGGTGATAACACAACCAGGGGAACTGCCCTTTTATCTATTCAGCTATCAACAATTGGCTGGTTGGCAGCAACGGACATTCGGCTTAAAGAAACAACAGCAATGGGCGTGGTCTTTGATAAAATCTGGTCAGCAAGTAGAATCACAAGAGACTCCAATCTTGCTGCTTTGTGGACAGGAAAGCGAATGCAGCCTGGTAAAAGCTCAGCTTGGCTAAAAACTGTCAACAATGTATGTATATTTATTGTAAATAATTTTGTTAATTCTATGTATATTGTATTATTACTTCTGTAGTGGAAAGCATCTTTGGAAGACAATATAAGTATCTTAATAACTAAAGTTCCAATCGAGATTATCACACTCCTTGGCTTTATCATTGCTGTTAAGCCTTGGAAATCTTACATGACTAGTTTCCCCCATTTTCCCTTTTGGAATTCCCAAGAAAAGTTTTTTAGGTAGAAAAACTCTTTCTACTTATGGTGATCACGTAACCGGTAAATACCAGGAATCCCATGATGCCCCAAATGGAGCTGTTTTGATTACCACCATCACCAATCTTTGCCATTATCCATTCCACATGGCTGGCCACATCCTCGAATCCGCCATCGATGCTCCTTAAGCCAAGCAAACGATCTCTCTCCGTTAGCGTAGCACCGGCATCCATATAAAGCTGTCCACGAATGGAACCCATGGCCTCTGGTTGTACACAAATCCTTGAAGATTTACTCTGCTGCTGCTGGTGACAAGATGTGTGGGTGGCATTCAATGTCACCAGATCGTGGAGTTCCCGAATATCGCCATCATAGCCCCAGGTGCTTATCTGCAAACGATTACTAGATTCGGAATCCAAGACTGAAGTGGCTCCCGGCGATGGAAGGCTAATTGCTTGGATATTGGGATGATCCGTTGGCACATCCTGTTCTAGCATTAGGATGGCCAGAGCTAGGTCCTTGGGAGGATGGTGGATATGGGTAACACCGAAAACTAATCCCTGCTCATGGGGAGCAAATCTCTGGGGGCTACCGAGCATCACGCGTATTTCTGATGGATGATAGTAATTCTTCTTCACCTGGCTGTTAGATAGATAAATTGAAATATTACAAAAAATATATATAATAATATGTTAACGTTAAGCTTACCTGTAGATGCAACTACTGACTGTGAGGACAACAGAGGGTGCCACCAAGGCGCCCGAGCAGATGTGACCCTTGCCAAAGTAGTCCCTTTCCTGGGCCAACAATCGTATGGATGCCTGATGAGGTGCCATCATTTTTTGCCTCAGTCGATCCTCTCCTGTGGTCGCTGCAATGGCATCCATTTCAGCCAAACTAATACCACGTTTTGCCGCCAAATCTCGATGGGTATAGGCTGCGGATGGAAAAGGTGCTGAATAAATGAGCCGAGGTGAAGGTTGGACAGGAAGGCTGATAAGGCCACTAATCGAGATCCGATCGGAATCCCCCGCATGGAAACAGTCACCGAATGCAGTTCGTTAAAATGCCTTATCACCCAGCGCACCTATCAGCAATCGACGCCTGGTCAGCGCCCCGATCGCTCCCTGATAATAGCTACCTTAACCAGTGCACAAGTCCCGGATTCGACCCGATCAGGCCACTACTGTTATTCCCGGCGTGATCACAGATATGATATAGCCGGTATGGTATCTATAGACCTCGACCACGGACCAACTAAGCCCAATCGAATCGAATCCACTTTACCCCATTTACCCCGGAAACTCGAGGCGATCACGCGATAGATAGATCGCCAATTGATCAATTTGGAGTGACGCACTTAAAGTGGCCAGCGATTTGGATAATCGTGGGATTTATGCCAAAATACAGTGGCTATATATCAAGCTAAACTAATTTGGTGATTAAACTTGAATATTTAATTTAAATATTTGAAATTATAAGCCAAAAACTATGACAATCTAGAATCTAATTTTAGAAATAATGACTAGGTATTTAAAATGTATAATTAGTTCAATTTTGCTTATCAGATGATCTTTCGGGGCAACAAAATATACCTAAGTTTGGAATGTTTTAACAAAGCAAAGCAAAGATACTTTAAAACCCATGAGATAGCACAGTCTTTGTAATAAATAAGAGTTACTCATGAATTCGTAAGGTACTTGCAATTCCTGTTGAAGTTTGTTCCATCATTGTTCAAGTATCAAAATAATAGAAACCCCTGATCGAGTCAAGTATTAAGCTGGCATAATAGCACATTTCCTGAGATAACCTAATATTTTGTAATATTTAAAAGGAAATTTACTTTAAAAAAAGAATTCCATATCCCTTTGCTTCTAATTAAGTTAAAAGTGCTCTAGCTCTCTAATCTGAATCCCATTCATTCGATATTAAGGATACCTTAACCTGTTCCTAAAATACTAAGGATAAACTTATACAAACCAAATCACTTCACACTTAAAATCTCCATCAAAGATCATTATTTTCAAAAATCTACTTACTTGTTTGCATTTCAGTGCACAAAAACGCGAAGATTAGTGTCTTCACGATCTTTCGCCAATGATCGTTGAGCTGCATTGCAAAAACGTATCCCGGATCACACAAATCAAAAACAAAAAAAAAAACCAAAAATAACTGATCCCAAAGATCGAAAGATCGAAGATCTAAAGTTTTTCACGGCGAGCGTAGTTAGAGGTTCACCTGTCGGGAGCTCCGAGCGATGAATGAAGAAATTATAGCGCGAGCTTCTCTCCTAAATCGAACGAACGCAAATTCGCAAAAAGCGTTCTTAGATAATTCCATCATTTTTGTTTTGGTTTCGTGAGTTTTGATTCCGATTCGTTCTGGTATTGTTGTTATTATTGCTACGGCCCGATGTCCGGCGATAAAGCAATAGCAACATACGACCCAGGCACCAGTACACCTATATAGTCGAATCGAACTGAATCGAATCGAATAATAAACAAACAAACACGCACACGCTGACATCGACATCGATAAGAAGTCAGTGCTCAGTAATGATTATATAGAATATATATACATATATATATATATTTCTTTTTGTAAAATTTGTTTATGTTTTAAGTCCAGGATTAAGATGGATCTGTGACCTTGTTAACATGGAAATCAATAAGTTGAGCTTTGGCAAATCCCTGGAAAAATTTCAATAATATACTTTCTGACATTGTTAAAAGTTTGCAACAAACTTTAACTCAAGTGTAGCGGAAATTACACCTTCTCCCTCAAGAATGTAATACTAAGTGTGGCTGATAAGAATCAATGGCCCACAGATTGGGTATCAACCAAAAACCCAAGAGCTTGTAGATTAATAATGCTGTAACGAAACCTTGGAGAATCATAATCACACCGACAGATAGTGCTCTCTACGGCTCTCTATATATACTAGACTTTCGATTGCCCAATGCAGCTGGACTCCTTGACCTTGTCTGCACGTTTGAATTACCAGATCGATCAATCGATCGATTGGATTGTACCTATATATATCGACTGCCCTGCAGTCACGGACACCATTCTTTTCGGACCCGTACCGTCTGGTCCCATAAAGATTACCAATATCAGGTGGTCACTTCCATTCATCGGTCTAGTGAAATCAAGTTCCTTTTCTGCGCCGTAAACTATTTTTAGTTTAACTAACAACAAACTTGCTGATAAACGTGCGATCAAGAGTTATATGAAATTTCGGGCTAAGAAGTTTTACAGAACGCCGTAAAGTAGGCAATAATTTTAGACAACGAAAGGTTAGAGTAACCGATAACTCTGATGAATAAACCAAAGCTTTTGCTGAAGGAAGTATCAAAAGAAAGGGTATATGGACTTGTTATTGAGGTTAAGAAATATTTATATTTTTGATATATATATATAGGTTCCTATTTTTAATGATATTTTCAGTTTAATTAAGACATTTATAGGGATGACAACTATTTATGTTTTCTTAAAGTGAAAACTGTAAAGACTGTAAAAACTAAACTACATTCTTAATATTTGTCGGGTGTTTATTAAAGTAAGTCCACATCTTCTTGAATATATAATTTAAGTCTTATTACTATTAAAAAAAAATTAATTATACAAATGTTTTACTCCTTAAATAATACAGTTTTTTATTAAAGTTCAAGATCTCAAAAATGACTAGTTATTAGCCTCAGAGCAAGAAATCCTGGCAGCAGAAGTGTAAGAGTGCCGGCCATGACACCCATTGCACCACCACCTCCATCACCACTTCCATCACCATCACCACCTCCATCACCACTTCCATTATCGTCATCATCACCATTTCCACTACCATCACCACTGCCATCACCACTGCTATCGCCACTGCCATTCCCACTGCCATCTCCACTTCCATCCGCATTCGAATCCTCGCCCATATTCTCCAGTACCCAGTCATAGTAGTAGGACACCTCCGTGTAGACACCCGGAAATCTGGGCAGGGCGCAATCAATGCCCCAGGAAACTATGCCGGCCAGCAGGCTTTGGCAGACCAAGGGACCACCAGAATCGCCCGAGCAGGCATCCTTTTCTCCCACTTCTACATAACCGGCGCAGATCATTCCCGGCTTGATCAAATGTCCCAGATCAGTATCCTCAACGCAATGCTCTTCACTGATCATTGGTACATCGACGGTCATCAGGATGTCAGAGATATAGCCATCCTCCCGAGTGCCCCACCCTGTCACCTGACAGACGACACCCTCGGCAACAGTAAATCTATTAAGGGCTATTGGACGAATGGTAGGATGATTGGCAGGAACAGTGCCATTCAATTTCAGTAAAGCAATATCCTTATCGTAGGTGGAAAGGACGAACTTGTCCAATTGCATTATCCGTTCCTCGATTGTAAAGGTCAATGTGTTGGTCTTATTAAAACGATCAAGGTTGCCCATCACCACGATGAACTCCTCCTTGGGCACGAAGGTGCCGTCGTAGATCACCTGACTGAAAATATATAAGAAAAATATTTTAATAATCGGTAACCCAAAACCTATCTTCCTGAATATGATCTTGAAATCTCACAATTTATATCTCTCAGTAATCAGTCTCTCAATGCTAAAAACTAGGTTTGATGGCCCTAAGCTAATCCTATGTGAAAGTAAAAAAAATGAGCCAACCACCTTGCCTACCATTGTGTAAGAATATTTTCATTAACAAAATGTTTTAGTAGTCATATACCGATAAGATGGTATCAAACACTTTAAATTAAATTGATATTCCCAGAGATTACACAACTTTTGGAAACTAAAAACTAACTTGTAGGTCCTAGGAAAACCCTAAACCTTCTTATCCCTAGCCAAACTTACTCCACAAAGCAATGGGCGGCGGTAAGTACCCATCCTGGCCGGATTAGTGCTCCTCCGCAAAGGTGTCCGGTGCCAAAGAAGTAGCCATCGTTGAGGGCCTTGCGTATGCCCACCTGATGCCTGGTGGCCCCCAGCGTAGCCTCCGTTCCATTGATGATCCTACCAGGATCCACATTAAATCTCGGCCGAATGGCTTGAGAATCTACACTTGATCGTGGCACGGAACCTTAAGGAAAAGTTTTTAATTAAAAAATAAGAACCTAGAAATCTTTAGAAAGTGCATACATACCTCTCAGTCCCGCCGGCAATGCAGTGAGAAGAAGGGCTACCGCCAATATATATCCCAAACCGATCATTTTGCCAATATAGATGCTAACTCCTCGACGTGGCGTTAACAACTAAGGCAGGAACCATACCCACATGTCCAATATCGACGTCGAAATAAAAATCTGGCAGCGGACAGGCATCATAATCTAATCAATACATATCGTACAGTATAATTGAACACCACAAAACATCGCCGGACTGACTTGTCATCGCCGGAGACCCGAAGTTCTTCGTCCGGGCTTGACGAACTGCAACTACACGCCTTAAGTGGCACTGCCGGATTTTCCAATCTCTGGGTTTACCACACCGATTTATTAGGCTCTTGAAAAGCGGGGAACTACCAGGGGATTTCCCGAAAAATGTGTTTACTAACTAATTTTTATATCTATTTTAGATCTTTGGTTACCAGGGTGGTACTGGCTTCTGACTAAAATAAATCTGCTAATATTAGAACTATAAGATACATTTTAATGTCTTAATATAAACCAAAAAATATAATCGTTTTAAGGTTAATAAACCCTGATATAAGACAAAGACTTCAAAATTCCAGTCAATAGAATTTCGTAGAAAATTCTTACATCATACCCGATCGAAGATAAAATCTTTGATAGCCCGGGGTTCGTTTTCAATTAATATTTCACATTTACTCGTGGCGCATGTGTAAATAGAATTGATTACCAACTACTAACAACAATTGGCCAATAAACAATTTATACAAAATCTCAAAACTACGTTACTACCAGGGCTGCGAACAAAAATTACTCATACGCACAGATTTCTAATCTAGGTCGATTTCGATTTTTTATACACAAATAATAATAAAAACTTGATATCGTGCTTCAATAATTTCCTGTTTACATTACCATTCAAATAAATAAGAATTAATAAATGGGTTTGGCCAATTCATTGAGCAATTTCAATGTTTATTACTGACGTTATAAAAGAAGGTCAGAAATGGTCATGGTCTCTCAAGAAACACTCCAAAATGGCAATAAAATTAATGCTAAATACAATACTAATACATCCTTTTCCTTTTTTTTCATATAGCTAAAACGTACCCTGTATCCATAGCCTTATCCCACCCCCTAGAAAACCCCTCCCCCCTTGAATGTCATCAATGCCGTCGATCACCTTTAACTATTGACGGACAATCTACGATTGTTGTGCCTCCTAGTTCCACGATTAGATAAATCAGTCGTAGAACAGACAAGAAAACGATTTATTGTGTTGTCCCATTGTCAAAGAAGGCTAATGATAAGCCCCGCAAGGCTAATATCCAGGAGCCGAGATGATATAGATCGACGATAGCCAGCCAGATTTGGTATCTCCATTTGACGGAATTCAGAATAGTCTAGCGATGCATTGGCTTCCCGTATCCAGTCTATAAAATGTGAGACATTGGTATAAACACCCGGATAGCCGGGATCTGCACAGCCCACACCCCAAGATATTATCCCGGCCAGTTGTCCGTCGCAGAGCAGCGGTCCGCCAGAGTCGCCCTGGCAGGCATCGATACCGCCTTGAAGGAATCCGGCGCACATCTGGGAGGCAGGAAGCTTGTAGATCACCTGGCACAGCTCTCTGTTCAGAATCGGTACAGGCGCCTGCTGCAGTGAAACCGATTTGTCCTTCTTCGGGGATATAAGAAAAAGAAATATGTTTGGAATCGAAAAATATCAATCGGTCCTGTACTAACGGACTCCTTTCTTACGCACACAAAAAACAGAGCCTTTTATTTCAATTTAGGATATAACTCACCTTAGTGACCTTGCCCCATCCGTGGATAAGACAGGTGGTGCCCTCGATGGGCGATTCGACGGCCAGCGGTACTGCCCGCACCACCGGCGAGTCCCACGGAATGAAGCCATTGAGGAAGAGCAGGGCGATGTCATTCTCTAACGTGGTGCTGTTATACCGCTTGTGGCCAATTATCCGCTGCACAAGGTACTCCTGGGTGAACCGATCCGACTGATCGATGGCACTGCTGCCGGCCACTACAACAAATTGATCCGGCTCACGGTAGGCTAATGGTACAGAAGTATTTCTGAAAAGTCAGATAGTTTTACTAAATTTTAATCAGATTTCATCCAGTCTTTCCTTCACCCACATGGCATAGCAGTGAGCTGCCGAGCAGACGACCCTCTGGGAGATAATCGCACCGCCGCACATATGACCCATCCCGAAGTACCGCTCGTGAATCGAACGCCGGCGCACGGACACCTGGAAAGGCACCTGATCAATGGTCACCCTGTAGCCGCCCACCACTTTTGGCAGGATCACAAAGGACGAGGCTGTGACTGTCGGTGGCAGGGTGTCTCCAAAGTATAAGGCCAAGTTCAGCGATATCAACATAAACAGGCGCATCCATTGCTGGTCCATAGGGTGTCTATACTTTCTCAACCGACAGAAACAAACCCGACAGCAATTACAAATAAAATTCAATTTCCAAAAAACTGTCAGGCTAATGAAGTTTAAATCAAGGTTAGAGCGATGCAGTCATATTATTATAATAAGTATTTTGTTTCTATAAAAAAAGATTTCATTTATTTGTTTAATTAACTAAGCAGTTGAAAGTATTGGTTAGATTCTGTGATCTAGGACAAAGGCCAGGAGGAGTGGCAGGAATCCAAGGAAGGACCAACCCGATCCCAGCCTTACTCCATCGTTTTGATAGAGCGTGTAGTTTAGAGAGCTGTTCTTTTGGACAATCCAATCATGATAGTACGAGACATTGGTATAGACACCTGGATAACCGGCCGCTGCGCAACCGGCGCCGTACGAAACGATTCCGGTCAACATTCCATTGCAACTCATAGGACCTCCAGAATCGCCCTGACAAGCGTCCACTCCTCCCGTCGAATATCCTGCACACACCTGGGAAATTGGAACCGTGTTGTAGGAAATGCGACAGGTGGCATAGGCGACTATGGGCACTGTGGCAGACTGTAAAGTATTACTGCTTACTATTCCGTTCTGAAAGTATATACAAATTCGATTATATATATATATTATATGAAAGAATCTTAAGATTACTGTGACTCACCTGCTGAAGCAGGCCCCATCCTGAGATCACACAGTAGGTGCTTGTGGCCACAAGTTGGCTGTTTAGGGCCAAAGCCTTTACTGTTGGCCAATTCCAGGGAATATAACCATTAATGAACATCAGGGCAATGTCGTTGGTCAAGGAGTCCGAATTGTAGTTCTCATGGACGATAAGCTGCTGCAGATAGTACTCCAAGGTGAGATTGGTGGCGCTCTTTAAATAGGTGCTGCCCATGACCAGGACAAATTCGCCAGCAGATCGATATTGTTTTTTCTCGGTACTTAAAGAAAAAAACAATTAAATTTTTTTTATTAATAGAAAACACGTCTACTTACAGGTAGCAACAGTGGGCGGCGGTGGCCACCAAACGTTGGGAAATCACTACCCCACCGCACAAATGTCCGGAACCATAGCTCTTCTTATCATTGGCAGTCAGACGAACGGACACCTGGTAAGGCACCTGCTCTATAGCTGTTGAACTTCCTCCCACGATTTTGGGCTCTATACTTCCACTCGTATTGTTTCCAAGGTCTGGTTAAGGACGTTTTTATATATATTACTATTCAATTTATAGGAATCACAACTATTGTTGTTTACAGGTGATAAAAAGATAGCTGAATTGATTGTCTTAACAAGAAAATTACTTCTGAGTTATATGACGAGTGGGTGTTATAAGTCTTCATTGGAACGGAAAAATAAAGAAATCTAATCGAGGGTTTTATGATTGGCACACCTTTGACAGTGGATTGCTTAGACTTCGTTTGCCTTGCCATAATGCATTGCCAAAAATGTACCTTTGTCATGGAAAATGATTGTCAAATAAGTTAATTTGTTTTCTTGGTAAACAAAATATGATAATGAGTCACGGTTATATTTTACTTCTTTTGACATAAATTTAAAATGTAATCATAAGATTATAAAAGAACGTTTGTTATTTTATAACTGAAACAAGTCTAGACATTTTTCACACTAATCACAAATCCATAAAGCCGGTAAACTTCATTTGCCTTAGAAATATTATCAAAACCAAAAAAAAACAAGAAAATAAAATGATAACTTTTCTTGGGTTTTATCTAACTTTTAAGTCACTTCTTTACATAGCCAAACAGAATACTAGAGAATGATTAGGCAGATGTAAATAAAAGTTAGATATTGGAAACACTATTTAGGTGTAATTACGATTGATAACGACCAATCTATGACTCACTCTCGCCGGAGGCCAGAACTCCTAAGAGTAGCGTTATGGCCACCCAGATTTTAGTCATTTCTTCAATGGCTTACTCAAGAATAGCCAAATTATATAGAAATTAGAGCCGAAGGGAACAGACTTATATATATATAACGTATTTGAAGATTTGTTTGCCCGTAACTATTATCGACCGAATTTCTTGAATCGAGCCACTGCAATGAGCCATCAGACCCATGGCCAGTTGATATTATTTGTGGGTTGCCTCTGGCTTATCTTATCGCCAAATGTGCGTAAATTGAATGTTGCCAAAGCCCCAAAGCAGCACATCGACAACGGCTCGATCGAGTGTCATAAAAGTAAACAAATGCCAAATCAAAGCAAAATTCACTTTTGATGCGAAGAGATTTCCCAGCTCCGAATATCCCATGGCAACTGTGAATGGCTAGGACCAAAGGTCTTCACAGATTTTACACATTTTAGCCACTCTCTCTTCTTTAGTTGCCTTGAAAACATATTGGTAAGTCTCTTTTTTATTTGTATTTTATTTTTGTTTTAACCAGTTTTTGGTATATCAAAAGTGTAACAAAAATATCAACAGTTTAAGTAGAAAATATTTGTTAAAAAAAAAAAAAAGTAAATATCCATAACATGGCGGCGTTTTCATTATAAAACCGTGACTAATCGGATTTTCCAGCCATTAAACAGGTACAAGTGGATATCATTCAGTGTGCACGTCAGTGATAAGCCTTCTATATATAAGTATTCGGATTCACTCTACGAATATAGGGTAAGGATCTTCTTCTTTTTCTAACCCCTTGAATTAGGATCAAATTTTCCGCTTTTGATTGATTGTTGACGGAACTTAATCTTTACATCTTTGGCAGAAAATTATATTAGTAATATATGTTATCACTGGAGATTTATAGTCAGCTTTTATCTTTTATAGATAAAATATAATAATTATGGAATTCAGTTTAATCATAGCTTTCATCGCTTTCATCACCATTTAGAGTGCAAGTATTGCCATGCTCCTCTTTTTTGTTATTGTTATGCTTTTCAATGACTTTTTTGGTAATAGCAGAAGCACGATCTAATATGGCCCGAATCTCTTCCAGTTCAGTGAGCTCCTCCGGTGGCTCAGTTTCCTGTTCTGTTACCCTTTTGTCTTCCGGAGTTTCAGGGCTATCAGAAACGGTTATTTTAAAATTAAATACTTCTCGAGGAGTCTCAGTGAGATCTGCGATTGTTCGTAAAGTGTCGGGCGTTGACATCATTTCTTCTTCAGTCTCACACTTATCCTTCGGAGATTCGTTCAGCACAGCAGCTTTTGAGTGGGATGCGCCGGCTTGGGGAAGGACACAATTATTTCCATCGCTTTCAACTGGATTGGTACTCTTTTTCAAGCTTTGTCGCGTCGATGTCGAGGGTTTAACATCATCTAATATAGCACCTTTCTGATCTCTTGGTTGTATCTCTTCAAAATAGTCATCGCAGTTCATTTCTTGCGAACTCTGTGAGTTTTTGTACTGGATGAGGTTTGAGGATTGTGAGTTGGCAAGACGCTGCATCACCTTTCGCTCCATATGATTGATTTTGCTTTCAAGGAGCTTGCGCTTCCTAAAAAAGAGTAATAAATATATCCAGAAGTATTGCTATCCGAAAAATCTAACCTTGAGCGTGGAGGTGTTTTTGGGCTGGGTGTGACGGGGGAGAGTGTGGAGCCAGTTAAGGGGGTCTTGCATATTAGTGAGGGAACTTCGTCTTCAAACACATCCCTCACTTTTGAATAGGCAGCGGCATTGGCCAGTAATTCCTGGTGGCATTTATTAAAAGCCTCAACGTCGAACGAATTCCTTTCTGCAGTGATTAATTTAATGTTTAATATGTGAATGTTCTGTAAAATGGATAAATTGTACTAACCAGCAATGGATTTGCCATTCTCGAAGTTATACTTATTTAGCTCTTTATCCTTGGCCCTTAGGAGCCCAGTCAAAACGGTGACTTGCTCTCGTAATCCTCCAGCCGTTGCCATTACATCAATGCAGATTTGGCGAAAGAACTATGGGGAAGGCAAATAAAGATTATAAATCCTTCGTTTGACTGGCTTAAATCATTTACTAACCTCGGAACTGTCCATAGGACTCACTAACCAGTTCCACTTTAGAGAAACTGCAGCATCGATAATGGAATATTTAAGTTTCAGAACAACCGGGCTAACATTGCACATTTCGGCATGTAGAGGTTCTTCCGTTACCAAAGCCAAACGCACCAAGTCCTCGGGGAACTTAACACGAGCATTTAACTTCTATGAAAGAATCAGTGTTTATGAATATTTCACCATTTTCACCAACCACAACTTACCTTCAAACGCTCCTGGAATAGATATTTCGGTAAGGTCTCCGAGTAAGTCAAATTCATGCCCGGATTGTGCAGGTAAAACGTGAGAGTTTCATCAACTCCGACCTCAAAGCATGTGAAGATATGCTGATCTCCATTTATAACTGCTGTTTTTATGAGCATTTTTATATATTGATATATTTAAAATCAAAAATTTATGTCTCTCTTGCGAAACTCAACTTTTTCACTCAAAATACAAGCTGAAAGAACACGTTCAAGTACAAAGTCAGCTGTTACTGTGGTTTTTCCTCTTTCTCTAACATATCGATAACCTATCGTTGAATAGCTTTCCAGCTATCGATAGCAGCTCCTTACCCGCCAGTTTTTGAATTCAGAAACCCTTAAACAGATATTACTTTATTTCGTTTTAAACATATTTTTCATAGACATTATTTTATTTCGTTTTAAACATATTTTTTGTATGTAATACATATTGTTTGTGTTCGGTTCATTAGCTTATCAAAAAATTCACTTCACTTTTTTTTTATTTTTATTTTATATTATTGATTAACTAGTTTCCATAGTTTATGTTTTTGAATTTCACTACCAAGAGAAATGTATTTATCTCTACAGATTTATAATAAGTATTTCAATTAACTAATCAACGCGTGCGTCGTCTTTAAATGTATATAGACATGTATTTATATATTATATATATAATAATAATAAGATCCTAAATGTTTAGAAGATCAGTTATAGTCGCCACCCGTAGGGTGCAGCAACACAAATTAATGTTGGGAATCGATTCAGGGAAGTTATCTTCGGGATCTAAAACTAGCCTCGTCTAGCTGTCTTTTATTCTTGTGTTCCTAGATCAGCCTGTGGCGTCGTTTGAGATTTTTCTGTAGTTTCTTCTTTATAGTTGTGGCTTGAATTGGCCCTCAAATCTGCGGACGTGTCCATAGCTCGCTCAGATCCTTCTTCAGCTTGCCCAGCTCTGTAAATAGGAATTGGCTTGGACTTAATTCCCCAGTGAGTCGGTTTTGGCCTTCGCCTTGGTCTTTATTTAACTAACTAACTTACCCAGCTGTGCTGGCAGGACACTGCCATTACGGAATCCCAAATCAAAGCGCGGCTGAACACCCAACTGGCTAGCCGAGCTGGAACCCGAGTTACGGAAGGCGGTGCCACTATAAAACAAGGGAATAAAATCAGAATCAGACTGGAAGCATGGAGGGCTACAACTTACCTATAAGGATGCTTCAGGCAGCCATAGACCTCGCGGTAACGCCCATATAGAGTTCCATAGGAAACGCCCAGAATTCTGGCGGCCTTCTTCATCTCGAGTCTTTTATTTTTTATGGCATCCAATACCTGAAAGATTCAAAAAACATTTTGTTAGTAAAATAACTAAATATATATAATGTATATTCAGTAATTATTATTGCTTTGTTTTTAATTTGACAACCCTTGGAACTCTCCTCCATCATTGTATTTTCAAGGTTTCGCTGTTGATTTATAATGAAATAGCATTGTCACGCCCTAAACAATTAGTTTAATTTGCCTTTTTTCCATGGAGAAGCTTTCTAAATTTGTAGTTTGCCATTAAAAAAACTACAAGCTAATTGCCAGGTTTTCAAAAGCAATAACAAAAACAAAAGCCATTAAAAAAACGAAACTTCATTATCAGAAAAAGTTGAAGTGATATTTACCCACATTTAGTAATATTTATTTTTAAATTTTTTAAAACTTCTTATATAAAAAATACTCAACACTTACACGCTTGGTAAAGGGCTCCTCCCAGAATTGTGGACGCCGCCCCTTGGCCAGATAGTCGTCCATCTTGATGACGTCCTGCCACTGCGACAGCTCTTCGTTTGTTAAACGCAACTCGGCGGCATCGTAGTCCTCCAGTTTGATGTCGGGATAATCTGCAGAAGTACCAGTACTTCCACCACTGCCACCTGGATCCTGTCCACCATTTCCGTTTCCGGCCGAGGCATTTGCTACTGCGGCTGCTGCTGCAGCTACGGCAACGGCAGCTGTGGCAGCTGCAGCGGCACTTGCCACATTCGGTGCAAATTCATGGGCCAGCAACATGCCATGTTCGTTGATCAAATAGGAAGATCCACTGGCTCCAGATCCTGATCCAGTTCCAGCGGCTCCGGCTGCCACACCTCCTTCGTATTTGCTGGCAAAACTGGCCGGTATTACGACCGTTGGACGTGGCGAGTCCGCCCGATTAGCCACCAAATGCTCATTCTCGATCTCCTCCAGGGGTTGAGGCAACTCGTCGGGTTCTTCCTTTGGCTGTTCAACCTCATCCTCTCCAGATTTCTCATATAGCCGACGAGCATGACGCAGTTTGCCATGACGTTCGCGACGCTCACTAGTCTTCTCCGATTTTTTGGTGGCACTGCTGGTGCTACTAGTGACGGTGAGCACTTCCGGTTGCGATTCATCGCCGGCTTCAGTTTCCTGTTTATTGGCATCGCCATCGCTTAGGGTCTTCGGCGTGGTATTACCATTTGGCTCCGAATTGGACCAATCTTGACCAGCAACAGATGGCTCTGGGTCACTGGTCTCCGACTGGAGGAGCTGCTGTTGTTGTTGCTGCTGTTGCTGGTGACGTAGACGCTGGCGCTGTTTGGGTGGGCAGGCGGCGGGCGGGGATGCCAACGAGGCGGCATGGGCGGCCAGCGGTGGTTCCTCGGCAAAGTGACGCGTTGTCTCCAAATAGGCACGCTGGGCGGGCTCCAGGTTGGCGGCATACTGGGCCAGCTTACGTCTGTCCAAAATAAGTAACGAAATTATGAAGAAAATATTCAAAATAAACTTTTAATTTTTCGGATAACGTACACATTGAACACATCGTAGGCGTCGTCTAGTGGCGGACGACCCCGCTTGCGTTTCGGACCCAGAAAGTGCTCCACGGGTGCTACGCCATCGAGAGATGTGGCCCCGGATATTGCACCCACACCTGCTGAGCCGGATGCACCCGGTATTGGCGTCATTACGGGCATGCGACCCAATACGCTCTCCATTCCCGGCGACAGACGTTCACGATGGTCACGATCCCGTTCACGGTCTCTGTCCAAAATCGCAGAGCTGTGCAGATGCAAGGGTGGCCCGGTTGGTGGCTGCTGCTGCTGCTGCTGTTGGTGATGGAGGATTAAATCCTGAGCATAGCTCTCTGCCAGACTGCGCGGCGGCGAGTGGAATTCTGCTGCGGCCATCGGTGGCGGCGGACCGTCTTCGTCATCGCGCCAGGTCACCTCGGCCAGTCCTTTGATCTTTAGGTCATCTGCGGTCTTAAGCAGCGAAGGAAGGCTGGCCTGCAGTTAAAGGAAATCAAAAATTATTTGTAAGGACTCCAAGGAATTTGGAAAGTGCTAAAAAGTATGCTACGACATGTTTCAATCTAGTTTTAGGTGATTTAAAATCTCTGATTAGGTTTAAGGATATACAAATCGTAAAAGTTCAGTAACTAGTGACTTCCACTCACATGCTCCACATTAATTTCGCCCTTGTACATGAACTCAATGAGGCACTTGACCTCGGCGAAGGTCACATCTTTCATGATGATGATCGGATCGCGTTCGCTGGCGTAATTGGAGAGCACGGCGTCGAAGAAGGTGCTGCAGGCGCAAAGGACAACGCGATGGGCGCGGATGAGCTGACCCTCGCAGGCCAAAGTCACATCGCAGAAGCAGCCACGATCCAAGAGCTGGGAGAACATGGTCTGCAGATTACTATGGTGGTACTTCCACCTCAGGCAGTATTGCTGCGGCAGCATGGTGGTGCCGCGCCTGCTGCTGCCCCTGATGTTGGTGCCTCTTGCTGATATAGTGGTGATGCTAGTCGTTCTAGTGAAGCACCTCTCCTTGGGCAATTGACTGCCTGAAAAAAACAAATAGAAAAACATTACTAATAAATCTCTTATTCCATTATCCATATAAAGGGAATTTCCCAAATAGAAAAGTCATTAAATCCAAACCCGCTTAAAGATATTAAAATTATATATTTGAATAAGCGTTTCATTAAAATTTCATAAAAAATTTGCAATGAAAAAAAGCAGCTATGGTGTAATCCTAAATTGACTTTTCTTAATACGTAACATTTTTCACGCGCCTCTGAACATGATATTGAACCGTTTATTGGTTTTTGCCCCATGGAGAGCATTATATATCCATCGATAAACTTGTTATCCCTATGAATCCTTCCCCAGTTGTGTGTGTGTGTTTGTTGGTGTGTAAATGTCAATCGGAGGACATGCAGCTTTTTACTGTTTAATGAAAAGGTTTGTTGTCCGTTCTTCATTATTTTTTTTTTCTGTGAGTTTTTTTTTTGAAGCTTTGGCATGCCAGCAAACTTCTTGTTGGCCTGTTTTTCAAGATATTTTTCGAATTAAATTCATCGCAATTTTTTCAGCCAAATAAATAATCGAAATTCCCGCTTTATGTGAGAGAGCAAGTCGGGATCGAAGCGGAAAAAAAAACCAAAGTCCTGCCAGTCATCGAATGGCGAGATGTTTTTTCCAGCTCCATTTCCCTGGCAACAAAGAAGCGCCAATGACTTCGGTGGGTGGTTAAAAAAAGAAAAAAGAAGTGGGCGTTGGAGGTGGTAAATTGGGAATGGGGAAGGACGGTAGTTTTTTCTTTCAGACTGCAGCACCATAAAAATGTTCGTCCTCGTTTTCATTTTATTATTATTCTTTTTCTCTCTCATTCCTTTTTATACACATAAAAAATTTTCATAATTTTCCTCTGCTTTTTTTTTTTTTCTTCTTATTTTTGTGTGTGTGTGTGTTGTGCACACTTTCATACAGCGCAAATATTATGCGCAAGGTAAAACTTTATTTTGTTTGTCGCTTTTACTCCGATATATATATATATATATGCATTTATGTAATATATATATATAAATGTTTGGTATTTGGTATGCATGTGCAAAATGAGTTGACGCTTAATAAAAACACAATTTTCCCCTCCCCACCCAACCTTCAACCCCACAACCAATCTGTCAATATACTTAAACGTAAAGTACGGGAAAAAAAAATGAAAAGAGCAATTATAAAATCCCTTTTGTTGTCGATTTCCACAGATTCATCGTAATTGTAAAATCGAATCGACGTGACGAAAGAGCGAAATAAATTGATTTTCGTGGTAAAGATAATGCTGCATCTACTAAAGTAACTTAATCAGCCATTTCCTATGTAAAAGTCCAGGAAAGTCCGGGACAAAGATAACAATAGCGGATGGTGGATTAAAAACTACAGATCATTGGTCCTATAAAATCTTAAAAAAAAAAAAACAAATTTAAAAACACAAACTCTTCCTATGTTTTGTATTTATTCGGATATATAATATACAGTAAACAGATATATAAAAAACTATAGAGATATGTTCATATACTAGGTACTTCCCCCGCACCCGTTTTCTTTCACCCCTTTTCCTGGCATGGTAATAAATTTTAAGAATTCCCCCAACAATTTTGTTACCCTTTTTTATAACTGCCAGCAAATTTTTTTTTTTTTTTTTGTCTCTTAAACTTTGTTTTTTTTTTTGTGTTTATTTTTTGTGAAACGCATTCTTGCTTTTAGTACTAATAGCACAAGGGAAAGGCAGCCCAAAAAAAAAGGGTAGGATAATGGTAGGGGGATAAGAACTTTATGTTAGCTGCGTTTTATGTCCAGTGTACAAAATGGACCACACACACACACACATACAGACACACATTTATAGGGAAAAAAGGACCCGCACTCACTCACACACAAACTTATTTTGAAAGTAAAGAAACTCCAGGCTTGGGTCAAAATTCGTCCGAGAAAAAGACGAGGAACTGTTGAAAAAACGCTGCTGAAGAAAGAAAAAGAAGCTCGCGAACAGAATGCGAAAGCAAATTTCGCTTCACCTTTTTCAGCTGCAAGAAATGCCAAAGGAAAGTTGAAAAAAACCAGAACAAACTACAAAAAACATCAGCACCAGAAAGCTGGCAAATAAATTGCAAAAAAAAAAAAAAAAAAGAATAAAAAAAACAGGAGAGAAAAAAAAAAAAAAAAAGAAACGCAAGAAGGAAGGACTTCTTTGGCTAGTATATAAAAGAATGCCATATGTACGGGTTTTTGTGTATGCAGCATGATTGATATATAAAATACAGTGAAGCTTAAATCGAAAAATGTAAAAAAAAAAGTTGATTTTATGAAGATTATAAATTATGTTTTTAAATGTGAGTTTAACTTCTGATAGATAATGGAATATTAATATTTTTCATTTTCAAGAAATCAAAAAATAATGTTATTAAAAATTTTTGAATAAGAATTGATAACTTTCATTAATTTACTACCAAAAATAGTTTAAAAACAAAACCCTTCTCTTATGAGAACAGTTTTTATTTTGCAAATTTAACTTACGGATTTTCCACTGTACAAAATAGTGGCATTAAAAAACGCCATGTCCGGCACTCAAGGATTGGGATTTGAGTTCGGTTTCTGTTTCGGTTTTCTGACTTGGCTCACTCACAATAATAGGAAAACCCCCAACCCCCTGCTAACACACACACACATACACATAGACAAGAGTTAACTGCAAAGGGTTTTTGATCCCAATCTCTTCCCCCACCTCCCTTACTTACACACATAAACAGCCACACACCCACATGCTGGAAGCGTTACACATTTAAGTTCCTTAAAATAAAAAAAAGCTACAACCAACACAGACAAACGAAAATGGGGGGTGTGTGTATGTGTGTGGGTGGGTGGATGGGTTGGCATAAAAAATACATGTTTTGTTGTAGTATATTTTTCCCGCCAAGCAGTCGCACACACACACACCGACACAAGGCCCCTTTTTCTTTTGGATTTTCTCATGGAAAATATTTTTCAGTTTTTATCACATTTTTCTTCTTCTTTGGATTTCGTTTTGTGTGTTTTTTGCTGCATCTTTTTTTATTTTATTTTATTTTTTTTTTTATTCTCCACTGCTTGTAAGCAGTGCTGGCTAAAGAAGGGGGGGAGGAGGGTTGAAAAGGGGGTGACGCAAAAAGGTTGCGAACGGAAAAATAAAAATGAAAAAAGACATTACAGCGACTGCGACGTTGGAGAGAAGAAAAAATAAATAAATAAAAACACAAAAAGCTGGCAGAACGAAGGGAAAATAAAGAAAAGCAGGGTACAAAAAAAAAAAACAGAAATGAAGAAAAACAGAAAAAACATAACGACCGTTTCTCGTTTCATTTCGTTTTCCCCCTGTTTTTTTTTTTTTTTTACAGTTTTCCCGACCCCCTTTGTCACCCCGCCCCCGTGGTCTTTATTATTATTTTCAGTTTCTGTCTTTTCCCATTTATTTTTCTTTCTTATTTTTCGCCCCATGTTTCTCTTCATACTTTTTAAGCTGTAATTTTTTACTTGACGTTTTTTATGTTTTCTGCGCTCCCTGCTCCTTTTTTTTATTTTCAGCAATTTTATCCTTTTTTTTTAAATATCGATTTTCATGTCAACTTAAATGAAAGGTACACAGTTTTCCATACAAAAAAAAAAAAAAGAAGCGGAATGTAAAAAAGGAGAGTACGGAATTTATATGTGGACCTGTCATCCATGTGTGTGTCTGTAATGCTTTTCTGCTTTTCCTTGCTGTCTCTTTTTATTATTAATTTTTTTATTCACACACAACACACACACACACACACACATGGTTGTAGATTTTCCCCATTTCCTTTTTATAAATGCTTGGCAGGGACACACACAGTGAGGAAAACAACTCCAAGATACACGGAGAAATTTCCACTTTTTTTTTTTTGTTGCTCAGTCTTTCTTCTTATATTATTTTTATTTTTCTTCTTTCTTTTTTTTTTTTTGTAGTTTTTCCTTAGCATTTCCTGGACTGTTTATGGGGGTGGAGGTGGTAAATTCCAGCCATGATTAATGGAGAACTCAATCGAGATAGATACAGTTTTATATACATAACTGAACCATTTACGACCAATACTTATGGATTCGCATATATATTTTTGGTAACAGCGAATCCCATTTCTCAATGCCAATTCTCGATAGCAATCTTCTGGGTGAAAACCCACAAGAAAACCAAATGGGTTTAAAACTATATTAAACCAAATTTCGTATTTTACTATTTTCGCCAAAATTGACTTTTTTAGATTTAAATGTCAGTCGATTAAGAATCAAATTACGAAGTCAACGAGGAATGTCATTCCACAGTTGGACCATTTTTGGCTAAGTAAAAGGCAGAATCATTCTGACGGAATAAGGATAAGCCGAATTTCTAATTTTTCATAATCTTTTTTTGGGAAAAATTGAATTAATTTTACATTTTCAACTTTGGGCACAGATCTGTCAAGAATTAAAAAACGAGCTCAACGGGGTTTTACATTTCATATTTGGACAATCATTGGCTTAGTTATGGACAAAATTCCGTAATTTGGAGGGGGAAATAAGGAGATATCGAACTTTGAATTCCTACTCCTTTTTTTTGTGAAAAATGGCTTAGATATGGGCATAATACTACGACTTTCTGGGAAAAATCGGGATAAAATAAATTACGCATTTTTGATAATCATCTTTTTCCAGAAAAATGGCAAAAACTTCACATTTTCAACTTTGAATGCAGATCTGTTATGAATTAGAAAACTAGCCCAACGATGTATGATTTTCCATATTTGGGCCATTTTAGTCTTAGCTATGAACGAAAAAAACTATCTTTTTGAGGACAAAATCATGATAAAAAAAACTTTCAAATTACAAAAGAATCAAATGGAAAGCAGCATAACCAAAATACTAAGTTATAGCAAGAGTTCTAACTAAAATCAGTTTGAATTTCAATGTGGAAAAATGATTTTAAATAATCCCCCATTATAATCCCCTTGCACTGCTTGCCTGATGGCAATTA